CAGAACTGTAGATATAATTCTTTAAAGGGGCATTAGCTTCGAATTAGACAAAAAACTAAAATATGATTTTTTTTATTTCAAACATTTATAAAAGCAGAATATATAGACATAATGTTTAGCTATCAGCAGCCAGTTTGGTTCAACTTCGTCAACATTTGATAAAATAGATCGCGGGTGTATTATTGACTTGCATCCGTATTTGAATCCGTATTCATGTAACCTTTAATTTAACTTTCAGTGGAGATGGTCACGCAAGTGTTTAACATGTGGTTAATTCATCAATGTGTAGCAACACCACCGGATATATAGATACAACGAAGATAAACATATATTTTTGATATATAACACGAAATCAAACAGACCTAGAAAAATATTCATAATACAATAGACCACTTTCGAGTTCGTTGCATTTCCGTCAAAAACTTCGGTTTTAATGAACATTATTCGTGCGTTTAGGGGCATTGTCACTTCCTTCCCATGTTGAGCGAGCGGTTCAAAAAATATGATTCTATATTGCGCAAATTATTCGGCAAATTAAATTCTTATAATTGATAATCAGCACTGCTGTCATTAGGGAATTGTGATTAAGTACCTACGGAACAAACATTATTCTAGTTTATCCTGCATAATGACGACCACGAAGACGCTTGATGAACTTTAATAGTGCAGGGATACAGACAATCCCCTCTATCTGGTAAATGACGCCATAAAGGCGCGCATAATTGACGAACTTTTCCGGTGAAGGACATAACTCGAAAGTGGTCTATTTATTGCGCGTGCTTGACTGTCTATTTAAATTTATATGTATGTTTCTATCGGATTATATAACCGTTGGTAGTTTTCGAAGGTCATCTCGAAGAATAATTAGATGGTTTCTGGTATAGAATACGCACGAAATGCTGATTGATACATTATAACGAGTCCGTGCATTGTTAATTGTTTTTTTTTTTTGGACTTTTTGTAATTTGAATATATATATATAGTGTACTAATTTTTGCACTTTTTATTTGCGGTATACCATCTTTTCCGCAAGTTTATTGTTTTCTATTTAATATTAAATTATATTTAAGATCCATTTTGTTACATCTGGTGATCATTTTATTTGGCAATCGCCAATGGCAGTCAGCAGGGTTTAAGAACATCTGTTGTTCGACCTGCTAGTCAAATGCGTTTTGTTAAAATATACTTTGTCACTTTTTTGTCTTTTGGAAAATTTTGTTTGTGCTGTATTTAGACCCATTTACCAAGAAATTTGTTTTGCATGCACATGTATAAAAATTACGGTTTTTATCCAACGCAATCATAGGGTTTGAACGTTGTTTTCAGTTTAGACTTACATATATATATAGTATATACGTTTAAGTAGGTTATAAATTAAATATGAGAATTTGGATCAAATCGGTGAACATGTATTGAAAGATAGTGCCCCTTTAACTTCGTTTCAATTTTATAGCCAATTTCTGCTAAAAGAAAGTCATACATGTGTATAATGGAGTGGTTATATTATTTGTTCCTAGTTGACATTTGTTTTCATAGCATTGACACATCCCTCTCCTTTTCTTTTTTTCCAGTACTTCTCATTTCTAAAACGCAAAAATACGCTGAGAACTGATAATTCAATCCATTCTGCCTTAAGGATGTTTGCTCCTCTTGTTTTTGAATTTTTCCCAGATTTTCGGAATCCTCTGGTTTTATCCATGTATTGCCATTACAAAATTTTGCCCGCTAACCCCTACTTTTCTTTTCATAATTTTATTACTTATAGTTTAAAAAGCCATATTTGAAAATCTTATAAAATCCTTGTTATTTTTTCATAGTTTTTGAAACAAAAAAGCGGCCAATGTTAAAAGTATGAAAAATCTAGAGAGAATCATTTCCAGCCAAATTTTCAATGACTTATATCTCGGAAACAAGCACACGGACCCTTCATTTTTGTCTGCTTTTTTAGTTCCTTTATTTATATACTATCATTTTAAAACAGTCTTTTAAAAAGCTTATTATTTTGAAACAGAGTAGCGAACATCCTTAATATTACACAAGTATTGGAGCAAGTACAATTGTATGTGCTTCCGCGCTCATCAAAAGGAAATTTGATATTAACACAGAAAGTGACGAACGCCTTCTATCAAAAAACATGAAAAAAACAGCATTTATCGGGGGCAATTATAAATGTTAATATCTAGAAAAACAACATCACTAGAGTTCACTTGAAAAGAATCTTCTATAAAAAAATTTCAATTGTAATGGGTCAAGGTCACTGTTATTCAACTTGAACAGCTGGATAAAAATTGTAAATTTGCACCCTATAAGCTCAATTGTCAAATCTCGAATCATATTTGGCAACAGAAATAACAAATTAGTCCTAAATATAAAAAACTATAATAATAATCCTTTAAATTATTCGAATGCATTCCACTCTTAACGCTTATATTTAGGGGCTATAAGTATAACGAAGTCGTAAGTTAATAAGATTTATTATGTAAATACAAAGTTAAGAATGTTTCTAAAGTTCAAATGTTCAATAGTTCACAAATTGTCTTTAAAGTTCAATTGTTCTAAAGTAACAGAATTGACCAGTGACAATTTCATATACACGCTGTTTTTAAAATCAGACCAGAACATTTCATGTTTTCTGCTTGGCAACCAAGAAAATCTCTGGGATATTTTAACATCAGAGCATTGTTTGGAAGTCCTTAACGAAGGATTTTCCTGTCTAAAGTACTGTAGAGGGTAAAGAGTTTTCATCCAAAATATTAAGTGACATTTCTAATCTTATGATTTTAAAACTTGATAATTTTACATAAAATATGCATGTTTTCTTTTGTCAATCTCCCATAGGAGGAAATAAAGTACCGATGATTAAGTTTTTTTATTGCAATGGTATATGTCATTCGTACAATGAAAAATTTAAAGTAGCGTCTACAACGCACAGAAAATGAGTTTGATACTTTCTCTTTTAAAAAAACAAAAATACCAGTCTGCTGATTTTCGTGGTCAATGTTATTTCGGTTGTACAAATAACGAATATCGAACGCAAATTAGATCGATTGATCAGCAAAGGTTATTGCGTTGCACAAAATATATCCGATAACTGAAACAATCCCAATAAGACTTTTAAAAATTGTACATACAACTTACTTTCGCGATATGTACCAAAGGATTTCACGTGCATATAATAACCAATATTAGCTACTTCAGAAAACGACCTCCTTTTTGTAGAGAGCATAAGATAGGGTAGATAACTCCAGGAAAAAAATGACTTTAAAATTGCTTAGGTCATCACTCTTATTACGCACGGGATGCACGACGGTTGGATATACCTATATCATTTATTGAACAACTTATTTTGACTTGAAAGGATATTGCATGCAGATCATAATATAAAACAATTAATATAAATACAGGTAAAAATTATTTTTGAAGCATGTTATTTGAGAAAAAGCGATTTTTTAAGGAGAGTTTTTGCGGAAGAAGGTACGAAGTTTTTTTTAAAAGTTCAAAAATTGTAATAAAGAATTGATTATACCTAAAAGTACCTGTATTTTTCGTATATATAGGGACCAATTATTCTTGGATGTAATAGTTTTGACCAAAAAATTGTGTGTTAGTATGTGAAAAAAAAAGTTTATTTTGAGAATGAAAGTTTGGTCCCCTAGATCTATAGTCATTTTTTCTTTCTTCAAAAGAATGATAAACCTTGCCCAAAAAGGTTTTCATGGGGAATATCATTCAATGATGAAATCCTGTTTTCCAAATTTTATATAAAAACTTTGATATTGACAAAAGAAGGGGAAAGGGGGGGGGGGGGGGGGGTGTAGTCATTCAAAACCTAGCTGTCACCCTTAATTCATAATGAGTTGATTACTAACATGTGATTTAATAAAAACCATTTCAATACAATCCCACTTTCAGTCTCTGATTACAATCATTTCTTTTACCAAACAGATTATCAAATATGATTAACCTAATTGAAAGCTTTGCCTGAGGGTCACATACATGTAGATATATCTATGCAGCAATCAAGGATCAACATCAATGAGTATCATGAATACAATTCAAAGCCATGATCAATTGTCCTAATTGTTTAATGATTTATTTAAAACTAAATGACCAATCTTCCATATAAGGCTAAGGCATAATATAACTAACTAGATACATGTAGTGATGTACATGTTTATTGCAACAAATGACAACCTCATGAGTCATGACATATTGTAAATTTTTAATATACTGCAACAAATTACAACCTTATGTACTGTAAATGTATAAAGCAACAAATGACAACCAGAGTAGGATTTAGGGGCAGGGCCCGGCCCTCCCTTTCCCTGTAAGAAAATGATTAATTATATAGAGAATCACTGAAGCATGACCAGAGCAGGACCCCTCTGAGGCAGTCAGTGGGCGCGGCCCATAAAATTTGTTGATCTGACACTGACAACTTCATGTAGTGTACATCTGTATACTGCAACAAATGAGAACTACTGAATGACAAAATACTTATTTCAAATCTCATAATTCCATTTTTGTATTCTAATCATACAAAATGGAATTCTTTCGCTACACATCACATTTAACAACACATTCACATTTGGTTAAAGTAAATGAATGCATTTCTCAGAACATTATTGATGTATTGCCATTATCATGATTATGCACTTCTCTTTTGAATTTTTAGTCCAATTAATTTCTGGGTTTTCAAAAATAAACAAACAGTTCGTATTGTCCCCTGCGAAACGCCATGCAGGGGACATATAAATACCGTCTGTCTGTGTGTGTCCGACAGGTCTTGTCACCTCATTCATGTGTACAATTGTTATGAAGCCTTTAATTCTCCTAGTTACAATGTATTCATTTTAATAAAAAGTTTTAAAGAACCCCTTAAATTATTTTGTTTACTAGTCGCCCTTCCTTGAATAAATCAAATATGCCTAATGTGTGGGACATTGAAACTTAGTTCTTTTATTGATAAATGAATATATACTTTTATTTGTTCTTACAGATAATCAAGTTTCAAAGACCATATATATACATCATGTATAATGTTTACAAGAAGTAATATTTGACATCACCTTTATGGTAAGTACCTTTTGTTATCAATATTTGAATTATAGAACTATACAACAACTTATAGGTAGATAAAGGAAACAAGCATGCAATGGATACTGCTGTGTTTTTTTATTTGGAGTCACACACAAATTAATAATTATGTCCCTTATGCTTATTCTCATTAGATTAATCATTTTCTTGACCTGCTGATTATTTTTATTTAATGAAGGTGTGGTTTGTTTGTTTTCAGTTATTCTTTGGTGAAAATTAATAATTACGTCACATTTTCTTGATTTCCTCTGAAATTTATAAAAAAAAAAGTAGGCAACAAATTGCTAATGCAATCACATAGAGATAACACATCTTATTGCAGGTAGTTCCAAAAGCACATAATTATACAACTTATTTTGAAAACAAACCAGAATTCTAATTGATAAATGTATTTATACTTTATTTGTTTTACAGAGAATCAAGTTTAGAAGACCACATATTAAGATACAGGAAATTTACATTTATTCTCGCTGTAAAGGTTAGTACTTTAAGCTTTTACTTTTTTTAATTATAAGACTAGTGAAACTAGCATGCAATGTAATAATGCTTTATTTGCTCGCACATATTCATAGATATTTTTTAACTGAAGTAAGTAAAATTTGAATTCTTAAACACAGTTATGGCATACATTTAGTAATTGTTTGCAGATGCCAGACTCAAACAAAGAGTTATTGTTCTTTAATATGCACTTTTTCAGATAATTAATCAACTTATTTACTTGAGGCAACCAATTTGAATTCTAATTGATAAATATATATATATATACTTTATTTATTTTACAGAGAATCAAGTTTTAGAAGACCTTAATTATTTACATTAAGATACAGGAAATTTATATTTAATCTTGCTGTTGAGGTAAGTACTTAAATTTTTAGTTTTTTGAATTGTAAGATTATCATGACTATTCAATGGATAGATAAGTGAAACTAGCATGCAATGCAATACTGCTTTATTTGATCAGAGCCACATACAAAGAATCCATCCTAACACACAAAATAATAAATACATTGAGTTACGTCCCTTTATCAATGAAGATCTGCACATATTCATAGATTTTTTTTAACTGAAGCAAGTAAAATTTGAATTCTTAAACACAGTTATGGCATACATTTAATAATTGTTTGCAGATGCCAGACTCTAAACAAAGTGTTATTGTTCTTTAATATGCACTTTTTCAGATCATTAATCAACTTATTTACTTGAGGCAACCAATTTGAATTCTAATTGATAAATATATATATACTTTATTTATTTTACAGAGAATCAAGTTTAGAAGACCTTAATTATTTACATTAAGATACAGGAAATTTATATTTAATCTTGCTGTTGAGGTAAGTACTTAAATTTTTAGTTTTTTTGAATTGTAAGATTATCATGACTATTCAATGGATAGATAAGTGAAACTAGCATGCAATGCAATACTGCTTTATTTGATCAGAGCCACATACAAAGAATCCATCCTAACACACAAAATAATAAATACATTACCACAACATACAGATCAAGTTTGTGTTACAGTGGATTCGCTTTCAGAAGCTCCTGCATGCGTAGTATATATCTCTCAATTAATACTATATACCGACTTTAGAGAATTACATGAGCTTCACAACAGTTGACACATGTGGACAAACATTTACCGTTCTGAAGTTATGCCCCTTTATAATTGGCCAAATTTCTGTTCCTAACTTAAATTTGCCTCATATAAATTCTAATTGATAATATTAGTTACATGATGTGTAAGTGACCTAATACGATATATTGGGTCAATAAATTCAATATGGGGTGAGAGCATTGTTGTTTTAATGAAGGGTTGTGGCATCATTTATGTTTTGAAAGGGAAGTAACTCCTTACTAACCCCATATGGTAACTAACCATGTATGGTTGCTAACTGTATATTTTTTAGGACACCCTATATCAAATATACATAGTCACCACGTGTAGTCCTTTAACCAATCATATCTCTATAAATCTATAGGAGGTAAGATAAATGTATATATACTTTATTTATTTTACAGAGAATCTGCAACCTTAGAAGACCATATATTTATATTAGATACAGAAAATTTATATTTTACCTCACTGTTAAGTAAGTACCTTTTGTTTTCAATATTTTGATTGTAGAATCATACAATGAATTATGGTTAGATGAGGGAAACATGCATGCAATTCAATACTGCTGTATTTTATTTTAAGGCATAATTGAACAATCAATATTCTTACACCAAAACTGGTACACAGAGTTATGGCCCTTTATCAAAAAAATAAATTGAGTTATTTTTTTTTAACATACAGATGATCCATAACATTCTATCAACAAACAAATATTTCATCTGACTGCTGATAAAAGCTTTGGCTGCTAATTAATTTCACGTTAGGTGCCAGCTAGATGACCAAAAAAGCTCTTTAAACACATAGTTTTTAATTCCTTGTTGCAACTGTTTATAAATATGAATTAAGGTGTATTATCTTTTAAGAAGTTACTTTAATCTGTTTTTACAGACAATGGCAAGATGTCAATTTTGGACTGAAGTTATTCCTTATTATACAAATGCTCGTGATGCCATTATGTATAGGTTTCTCTTTGGAGAATACTGTAATGTACTTTCAGATAGTAATATTTCTGAGGAATTATCTAATGTTTGTACATATCTAGGAGATTGTGACTGTTGTAATTGTAGAAGAAGAGCAAGTACTATTGCGGCACCTAGTACAATTGATTCATCTGATTCTCTGTTTGCATTAAGCAACAGGTTTTCAGATTCAATTGAACTTTCATGGCAATCACAGGCTGTTCCTACTTCACCATCACATTTTAGTGATAGTGAAAGTTGGATAACCTCTGATTCCAAGGACATTGAAGTTCCTCACCAACATAATGAATCATTTGCTTCAATATTTGTTGAAAGCAAGTCGTTCTCAGTTGATGAGGAATTAGATTTAGATCAACATTGGTTAACTGAGTCATCAAATATCTCGAAGAGTTATGATGATTTAGATAGCCAATGTTTGTCTGATGGCGAACACATATTTAACCAACCCCTTTCAGAATCAGGTGGTCTAAGTATTGGTAATGGTGAAAGTCAGTGCTCAAATGATTATTTTGGTACACCATATCCAAAACTAGTTGATGCGCGTTTCAGCAATACTGAAACTCAGCCTTCCATATATTTTAAGGATGAACTACCTTCAGCAGCAGGTGTATTAAGTTTCAGTGATACTGAAACTCAATTACCATCTGTTGTTGATGGCTTACCATCCCTAAAATTATTGGAAACAAGCTTTAGTGATGCTGAAACTCAGGCACCAGCTGGTTTTGTATATGGATTGCCTTTAGCATCAGATGAACCAAGTTTCAGTGATGCCGAGACTCAATGGCCAACTGATTTTGAAGGAGGAATACTTTGTTTCCAGAGTTTGGTAAGTGAACGGGATGAAGATAGTGATACAGATTGTTCATCCAATTCTGTTTCCCTTATCAAATTCAAGAAAATGAAGTAAAGTGGTGCAATTTTATGTGTTCCTTTTATACTTATTACATTTTTAAAAATTATGTTTTGCAAAATGCAGGCAATTAGACATGCAATCAATTTTAAATTCCAAACTAATGAGTATATTTTTCAATGGTTTTTACTTTGAATTAATTTTTCGGTAATTGCATGTCTGAACAAATTGAATAAATAAATTTCTGTTTATCTCAGGACTCTTGTTTACATCTTATTTGTCTTCTATCAATGTCTATACAAAAGCTAGAGTATAACTATAATTGTGATAACGTCACATACATTTGGATTTAGATTTCTTTTTACTGTACTCTAGTTTTTATGAAGAAATAGCTACTTGCAATTTTCATACTATCACAACAGCTCTTTATTTTAAATAATGGTTATGAAAATATTTTAAAACTTTGTCAATTAAAATACATATATTTATAAATATTTTTATGTGTTTGAAAACTTTTATCATGTTTATCAGTCAGTCAGTTTGTTTTAAATCTGTGATGTTATATTGGTAAATTTTGAAATTCCAAACTCCGGGATATAATACACACTTTTAGCTACCAATGAAGAAAACCTAATATGGCAAATGAGCATATAATGTTTAATAATGGAAATGACTTCTAATAAGACCAGAATCATTTATATAAAGGAATTAAAATTTATTTGTAAGGTGAGAAATTATTCCCAAAGCTTTAATAAAAATCACATGCTTTTGATATTTGTTATTGCACAATATTTTCAATACATTTTACCACTATTTCAGGTTAAAAACTAATTTGGAATATGAATTATTTAAATTCTTTAACGTGTTTGACATTGATTCAATGATTCAATAAGCAAAACTTATCTTAGTGGTACTGGATATTCCAACACTTATGATGTTTTGCTAGAATCTTTACTTTTACAAATTGTCAGATCATTTACAAAAAATGAATTTAGAGTACAGTCCCTTTCATGAAATTGAAATTTTATGTATTTGATATTACTTTTAGTTCATATAAAAAAAGAACGTGTTATGGGTAACATGTATAAGGGATGTTTATTTTACGATTAGAATTGACAAAATGTGTCTTACTTACAGCACACTTTTTATACAAAGGTAATAAACTTGCACATAATGGATCACGTTCCTCCTCTTCCATTTCACATGGAAACTCTAACAAATAAACATGTGATCAAATTATTTCAAGAAAGTAAAACGCATTTTAGAGCAGGAAGTCAGCGTATCCTGCATAGATGGGTATGCTCTTTCTTGAATAAAAATGAAAATGAAATACATTTGAGCAGTTTATTCAAAAGAATAAAATCCGTGATTGCAAATCTTAGAAAACTAAAAACCACACGAAGATATGAAGAAGCTGATGCGTATGAAAAACATTTATTCCAAATTCCAAAGAGATTTCACATTAAACCAACCAGCACAAATTTGGACTCTCAGCATAAACTAATCTCCCTGAAGAAGAAAGTTTCTGTTTTATACTTACAATTGGCAAATGAGAAGAAAAAGGTGAAAAGAAAAAATACTAAAATAACAAATTTGAAGAAAGAAATTGATTTTATTAAAGTTTTGAACAAGAGGCCAAAATCTACAGCAAAGTACGTACAAACAGATGCAGTAAAAACATTACCTAAAATCAGCATGGGCTCCCAGTGTAATTTGACAAGGCTAGACAGCATGGAATTAAAGAATGAAATAACTTACTGGCAAAATGAAGTCATCAAAATCAACCAAATGAATGAACCAGATCAACCTGTACCATCGGTGAAAAAAGAACTAGAGGAAATCCATTCTCCCATAAAATCAGGGAATGTGTATTGGCATGCATTTCGAAAAATGTGCCAATGCAAAATATTTCAGATGTGATTGGCAATATATGCAAAATTTTTAATGTAGAGGAAATAGACACTTTGCCCTCAGTTGCATCAATTCATAACATTTCACGAGAGGCCAAAGCAATATGCAATAAGCAACTTGAAGAGGTAATTAAACATTCTAACAATTTAACCATAATGAAAGATGCTACAACAAAACAAGGGAGACAATTTTATGGTGCGAAAATAAATTGCAGCACAGGAGAATTTACTTTAGGTAATTGATATTACTTTAAGTTCATGTAAAAAAAGAAGATGTGGTATGACTGTCAATGTGAAAACGTTAACGAGAGGCCAAAGCAATATGCAATAAGCAACTTGAAGAGGCAATGTTTGTCTGATGGCGACCACATATTCAACCAACCCCTTTCATAATCAGGTGGTCTAAGTTTAGGTAATGGTGAAATACTGTAATGTACTTCCAGATAGCAATATTTCTGAGGAATATAATATTAGTTACATGGTGTGTAAGTGACCTAATACGATATATTGGGTCAGTAAATTCAATATGGGGTGAGAGCGATGTTGTTTTTATGAAGGGTTGTTTAAATAATACACCTGGCCATATATAGGTGAACTAAACGGAAAATTAAAAAACGGAAAGTCCCTAATATAATGGCAAAATCAAATGATAAATCAAATAGGGGTACAACAACAACACGGACCCCACCAAAACAAGGGGTGGTTTCAGGTGCTCCTATAAGGAAAGCAAAACCAGCTCCACATGTGGGACATGTCATGGTGCATGTGGTTACAAAGCATGTAAATAGTCTAATTCGGTTGGTCACAAATAGGGGTCCAACAACAACAAGGACCCCACCAAAATATAAACCTAAACTGTGTACAGGCCTTGCATGATTTCAATTATAGAGAAATGGAATGTTCACATTTTAAGATTTTCCATCTCTTCTGTCATATAATTTAGTTGTGAACTGTGAACATATTTAAGGTATCATAAAATTGATTAAAAATATGAGAAAAGAATGAAAACCATAACAGCCAGTGGCAAATATTTCATGCATATTCCTGACAAGACCGGATGAACACATAGTATTATTATTATATGTGAATCACCAAACATATGCTTTGCAGGATTAAAAGAGATATCAAGTGGGACGGCAGACAAATATGTAAAAGCGACATTAGATATGGTCAATGAGGCTTCAACCACTACTGAATTTGTTGGGAAATTAACGAATTGCATGACAGACAGGAGTGCGACCGAGTTGAAATCCAACAAGTTACTTAGCGAACTAAAAACAGAGGAATTGACAAATGACAATGAACTCAATGAGTTTCAGTGCTCCGTACACCCATTGTTACAATTTGCAGATGAAGTGGAAAAAGTTGCAAAGGAAATTGAAAAGAAGTATGATGTGAAGTTTAAGAACTTATTCCGAAACAAAGGCGAATCGTATTCTCATAATTTGATACGGTGTGTTTCCAAGTTATTTCATAGTGACAAAGTTGGAGACCCCCTTTTTTGTAGAAGTTTTTTACGGCAAAATGATATAGTACATGTCCCTATATTAGACTTTGTGGGCAATCGCTTCAATACTCTATTTTATAATGCTTGTGGTACTTTTTGCCTTAAAGATCTTCTGACATCATACATTACTTCTTCAAAAGATAAACCAAATTTTATGTTCACATCTATTCTGCAACTATTTGAGAATGAAATCATCACAGCAATAATACAATCTATTGGAATCATCTACATCAAAATTACCGCTCCTTATTTTTCTTTGGCATCTCAGAACAAGCCTGCACTGGAAATGGCAACAACTTACAACACTTTGGTTGATGAATTAGAAAAAATCGTTAAAAATCCCGCTTTACTTTTAGATACAGAATATATAATGTTTCCAGGTCATCCTTCTGAAATTTCTACTTTTAATATGGCAGTTTTAAAACCACTGGTAGCATATGCTACAGTTATAGAATGTCTTGGACAAATGGCATTGTCTATCTTAAGTAAATGCCGGAAATTTTTCACAAATTATCTTCCAGGAGGAAAATACCATAATCCATCTTTAAAAACAATTAATGAGTCATCAACTTGTCCGTCTAATAATATTTCTTTAGAGAGAATGATGGGACAACTCGACCGCCAAAAAACCATTTCACCCAACATAAGTTTGACGACAATAAATGCAAAGTTGATGTTGAAAAACAACAAGACAATGGCATGGCTAGGGGAAAAAATGAGGAGGATAAAAGTATAATTATGGCCCAGGCAAGAAGAGATGCTGAAATTTTAAAAGAAAAATCTATTGCAGATGACATAAAAATAGAGCAGGAAAGGAGAGAAACTATCAAAGAAAGAATTGAAGAAAAAGAGGCAAAATTGAAAAAATCACAACAACATTTAAAAGATGTAATTAACCAAATTGACAAAATGGGGGGGAAATGGAAAAATGAATTTGAAAAGAACAGCTATATTCAGGCATTGCAGTATAAAAAAGATAAGTTGAATGCTTTAAAAACCCAAATTCTATTCCGAAAAGATGTTGAAAAACAAATTTGTGACAAAACCCTATTTAGAAGAAATTTAGATATACAGCAATTACAGAAAAATTTGATAAATTTGATGGAAGAAGAAAACAAAATAACAAATCTTGAGGATGCCATAGTTCCAATGGAGGTAGATGCAGATATCAATTTGAGTGGAATATTAAGTAACCATGACAACCCATCATCACCATTGCCAGCTTCTTCAACCGTAATTTCAAACCCTGATCAGTCACCATCTATACCTGAACCATCAACAGCTAATAATTCTCAGTCGCCATCATCGTCATCCGTTCCAAAACGTAATCAGTCTGCATCTCCATCTGCACCAACACAACACGAATTAATTTCTAAACCACCATGCTGGTTTAACCAGAAGTACATAACACATACTTGGGATGAGGGGTCAGAATTGACAACCTACCATGGGAAAATTGTACATTATGCGGCACGCAGAAAAACTTTTAGGGTAAAAAAAAATTTCAAATTTATCTGGCGTGCATGTAGATTCCTTGTTTCACATTTGTTTTAATGGTGTACTGAAAAATTAGACTTACATTGTCACCATGGGAAAATAATAATATAACAACCTTATTGAGGTGAACAAAATACCTTCCTTATTCATTGTTGAAGCATATATTCGCAAAGGTTTTTATTGCAATTGTTGCATGCAATTTTTAACACACACTTTATCATTAAATATATATATCATGTTACATCCAATGTGTAGGATTACAACACATCATCACACACCATCCCTTCACAAGTTATGGTAGGAACACAATATTTCACACATTGTACAAACTTAATTTCAAGTGTTTACACTCATTTACAGGTTGTATTTATTAATTATATATATAAAAAAGAAGATGTGGTATGATTGCCAATGAGACAACTCTCCACAAGAGACAAAAAAGACACAGACATTAACAACTATAGGTCACCGTACGTCCTACAACAATGAGCATATCCCATACCGTATAGTCAGCTATGTAAATGTATATATAGATTGTAGAATGTAGATACATGTATATATATATATATATATGGAACTGCAATTATTCAGTATTTAAAAATAAATTCCAAGTCTATCTTTTTCCTGTTTGTAATTCCATTATACTCAATTTCCTAAAATTTTCCATGTTGAATATTTTAGCGACTTGTGTACAATGGAACTGATCAAATTGAAAGTTTAATATTAAACCATATAAACTTTGACAAGAAAAATTGAAGCCTACCACAAAAATTGACTCTTTTATATGTTAATTAGCAAAATTTAATTCATTGCAATAAAATTACTGATATGGCTGCCATAAAGAATAACTACTTCAGTCTGCTCCCCTAAATGTAACAAAACACTAGTTTTATTTCATTGTTCAATAATGCTTTCATAGCTTAAGTTGTGGCTTTGTCATTGCTTTATTCATGCTGCATTTTGTCACTTTATGTTGCATTGCTTTTATATATTATGTTGCTTTGTGTTAGTTACTTTATGTTGCTTTGTGTTAATTTATGTTGCTTTGTGTTACTTCATATTGCATTTTTTAGTTTATGTTACTTCATGTCATTTTATGTTGCTGCTTTGTGCCAGTTAATTATTGTGTTGCTTTTATTTTATTTTTAAATAATGATTTGAGAAAATTTATTTGTTTACTAATACTGTACAGTGTTGTGAAATACGACTTTGAATCTACTTTAACAAAAGCTAAAATAAGAATATATTTCTTTTAACAGGTAATATATTGGAATGAACTGGAGGGCCAAATAGAGAACACAAACCTTGAAAAGTATGACTTAACAGTGAATGAATTGAAAAATGACATAAGTGAAGGGACTTTAAAGATTATGTAAGTGTTCTTCAATAACTATAAATTGAAATAATTTTAGATGTTATCTTTTGAAATTACAAGGAAAACTTGGAACTGTAGGAGTATGTCCATGAAGGACTCAAAATGACCCTGAAAATCAAAAATATATCCTAAAAATAAAAAAATAGAAAATAATGTGATGCTAAAATCTGAAGAGTTAGAAATAATGAATGAAAAACATAAAGAATAGAGAAACATGATCTCACAAAGTAATAATAACAAATAAAGCTACCCATTCAGACAGTTTTAAAAGTGGTCATTTTAATTTAATTTGTAGAAAAAAAACTTAGAATTTATCAAAAAATGTTGACGATAAAAAAAATCATTTGAACATTGAATCGAAGAATTATGTGATCACAATTTGTTCCATTGTTCTTTTCTGTCAACATAATAAATTTTTTTTATTTTTCAGATATTGATTTAAGAAAGAGACTATAGTTTATTTTAATCAAACTTTTTATAGTAAGTAATAAAAATGAATAAGAGTTATCTCTCTTTGCCAAGTCAATTTTTGGGAAATGCCTATTTGTTACTGTATAAAGATGCTTCAATAACGTCCTTAAAATAGCATCCAATCAAAAAGTGTAATATTTACAAATTAGGTGAAGGTCTCCAGGTGAATATTTTATGAAGAAAAGTAGATTGTAGTGAAGTTGAATTTTTTTCCTGAAGTAGCTACCAATATATCTAAATCCAAAATAACAATAACCCGTTTTACAACTACTCTAACCAGTTTGATTATATATGATTATATTTAACACAGAGAAATCCCTATCACGGCTGTCATTCGGTATATCGAGTCAGTAACTATGCGTGACATACATAACTACGGTTCACATGCACTCATTGTAACTCAAGTCACACTGCGTGACATACATAACTACATTTCACATGCACTAACTAACTCAAGTCACCCTACGTGACATACATTACTACAGTTCACATGCACTAACTGTTACTCAAGTCACTGCGTGACATACATAATTACAGTTCACATGCACTAACTGTTACTCAAGTCACTGCGTGACATACATAATTACAGTTCACATGCACTAACTGTTACTCAAGTCACTGCGTGACATACATAATTACAGTTCACATGCACTAACTGTTACTCAAGTCACTGCGTGACATACATAATTACAGTTCACATGCACTAACTGCACGAAGATTACTACATCATAACATCAATGTAAAGTTAACAACTGTACCAACACATATTTTGCACACTACTGTTATATGATCCAGTCAATTTTAATTATCTTTTAAATATAAAGTGTAACCGATGTTACTGAAAGAAGTTTTCTAATTGACATCAGTTTAGTACTTATAATTTCATAATATTCACAGATCTCATTTCTCTCTATTTCTACTTCTTATGTTTCATAATAGTTAATAAAATCAAAATTACATTCAACGAAAATCTAACATTGAATTCATATATATATATATATATCAAACTATTAATCAAATTTCGCACATGGCGACCAAACATATCGCACCAAGCGATCTAGTGAAGTAATGTCTACAGTACATCACTATGTAGTTCAAACTAACTAACTCAAGTCACCCTGCGTGACATACATAACTACAGTCCAAATTAACTGGATCTCGGTTTAGTCACCCTGTGTGACATACATAACTACAGTTCAAACTTACTGTATCTCAAGGTCAAACTAACTGGAATTCGAACTCAAGTTACCCTGTGTGACATACATAACTACAATTCACATGCACTAACTGTAACTCAAGTCACCCTAAGACAATAATCATAGCACTGCACAAAGATTACTAAATTCGTAACTTCACTTAAATGTATATTTAAAATGTACGAACACATATTTTGCAAAATATCGTCACTTAATTATATATATGTATATATTATATATTCTCCAGAATCTTTAACAGAACTTTGATAATTATCTGTAAAACGATCAACAATTCTATGCCAAATATAAGATTCAAGATTGTATTAAAAAAACTTTAAAACACATTTTCTTAGACATAATTAAATGTTGTAAACTGGAGTAATCCGTGAATAAAATATCTAAATAATATCATAGATATTTAGCAATTTCTTAAGATAGATAGACAAACTATTCAGGACTCTCTGTAACAAATCTGGTTTTATTTTTCTCTCAAAATTTGATATCTAGTGTTAACAAATATATAAATAGTGGAATTCATATTCGACCGAACTGTTATTACATAACGTGCCCCATGTCTCTTCCATAGTAGTTTTATCCATTTGCCAGTTTTATTCGGAAATTCGATATTCGAACATCAAAATTTAGTCAGAGACATATATACACATATATACATAAACAGTTAGCAGAGATAAATTATGTCAAAAAATAGTGAACACTTTAAGTGTCAAGTAACATATAACATGAATCCCATTTTCATATAAAACAGTTAACAACATTGCCAATTTTAACAGAACAGATAACTGACAGTGGGTTGAAAACAGTTAACAGTTTATATATATTTCAAATAACAGTTAACAACACCTTGAAATAGCCCAAAACAGGTCAACAGAAAAAGGTATCCCCCCTCCCTCGTCTAGTTCAAAGCTTGGTAAATATTCAAATCTCCTATATCATCTTCTCGTCATAAATATGCATTTAACCTACCACTTTATACAGAAATGTTCCCGTTTATTTTTCAAAGATATATTTAGAAATCAGTTCAAAATGTGCCCCGAGAAATTCAAGGGTAACTGTCAAAAACTTATGTCTACAACATTCAACGACTGGCAATTAAATTTCTGACTTGGTAAAGAAAATAAAAGATAGACAATGATGAAAGCAAACTAAATCATGATAACTAAACTTAAGTTTGAGAGAAAAAAAAAGATATGTATAAGAGACATATAGCATAGTTTGATTTATCAGAAAAATATATTATCTTATAAATAAACAATTTATCAGCGTATTTAGTATACGCACCTTTCCAAAATAATACAATATTTAAAGAATTAGGCGCGCTTTGTGCATTTCAAAGAAGCACGAACAATGACGTTACGTCATAGTACATTTCATAGCATCAGAGTAAAAAAAAAAACAATGGCTCAAAAGTGGCCCCGTGGCACTGAACGTAGTACGAAAAAAATGGCCCAAAAGTGGCCCATGGCACAGAGATGGTTAAGGAATGACTGTAATTTTTTTTATGTCTATGAAGAAATAACATAAAAAATGTGGTGCACACTGAATAACCCGTGTGCACCACATTTTATGTCTATAAGCTGATAGACAAAAAAACATTAACCCTTTCAGTGCCAAGACCAAAATTTAAAATTGCCAAGACGTTAGAAACGTAACAATATTTCGACGTCACAATATAGGTATAATCTTCGACGACGTTGACGTTCTCACTAGTAGCAAGATTTAAGTCTGAAACGGTCATTTTGGTCTGATCAAGTCTTAATCGCCTTGATTTACTGCTAGGGAAAAACGTTAAGACCGGTTTAGACTTTCAGACTCTGTTCCGATATATCGTGTTCAGTCAGATCAGTCGGGTCAAGATAAACAAGACAGATTCTTCTAGCGTTCAAATAAGACTTGATTAGATCACGTTCAGATAAAATAAGACCAAAGGTAAAAAATCTGTTTAGTTGCTGTAAGATCGTGTTCAGTCGTGTTAAGATTTTAAATATTTTAAATAAAACGAGCGACACTTTATCTGTGTTTATCAGGGGTTACTCCCCTTTATGAATAAAATCGGCATAGCTAGGAGGATATTCTTTTGTGGTCTTTTAATGTAATACTGTATATCTATTTCATTAAATAACGTATGCAAACGTACAATTCATTTTTTCCCGATAGAATTTTTAACATTTAATTGGTTATATAAGAAAAGATTAATTGTCTTAACCGGGAAATGTGTTAGTCATTAAAACTTTGCAGTCGTGCTTTCTGACATAAAGTAGTCCTGTATTTATTCATTCCGCCCGTAAAGATATAATGATAAGTAATATATTCCAAAGATGTTCTGAAATTTTCTTAAACATTTTTTGTTTCTAATGTAAAATAATAGTTCTGATCCATATAAAATTTGTCAAGAAAAATATATTCTAAGTATCTAATTTACTTTAAATTTTTAAATATTATATAGATGACAGTTGCTTGGTGAAAGTTATTTACATTTCAATAAACGGATTATCTAAGCAGTCAACCGAAACGGGTTGTCATAAACTATCTAAATAATTACCCATGCAACGCTTATGATGTTTTATCTATGGACGTAAAATGAATAAAGTTCCATGTTTTATCTTATATAAGGATTTACCGGGTAAAATTATTACATTGACAAATAAAACATTATTTTTTCAAAAAAAATGCAACAAGAATAAAGAATATTTTAAGAATTTAGTTGACAGTTTATATTTACCATTAGGTACCTATAAAGACCGATTTCGATACCTCTCTTGATTTTTTTTTTATCATCGAGTTTTTTTTAGAAAGAACTAATACAAGAATAAATCATATAGAAAAATATCAAACAACGATTGATAAAATCTTGTGTACGGTTTATATTTCTGTTTCGTATCAGATTTTTTTTATAACACCAGCGTTACTTCTCATTTAAAAAACAGTGAGATGCTTACTTGCTTTTTCGAAATTGACCAAAAAGCTATAGAATAACGTAGCGAAATGACTGTACTTATAGATTATACCTTTGTTTTTCCATTTTGAATTGTTTTACACTAGTCATTTTGGGGACCCTTATAGCTTGATGTTCGGTGTGAGCCAAAGCTCCGTGTTGAGGCCGTATTTTTAATGTATAATTGTTTTATACTTTGTAACTTGGATGGAGATGATTATTTGGCACACATACCACATCTTCTTATTTATATTAACCGGGAGCAGTTTATAATATTTTCATTTCGATAAAAAGAAATATGCAATTCAGTAAATCAAATCGATTTGTACCATATTGTTACATTCAAAAGTCTTTAACTGAACTAAATGATTGATAGAAATACATTATTTGTATTGCATCGCTCCTAAAATAATGTCCAGTGTCAAATATTACACATCGATGATCACTTAGATGTTCAACTGATTCAACCAAAAATTAAACTTAGGACTAGGATCAAATGCAATTCATTACGTTACAATTGTATCCAATATTAATATTGTTATAACATTCAGTCGAGGAAAAGACACATGTGACATTGATATGCATTGGTTTGTTCTAGCCTGATACGGCGAGCGCGTGTCGACAAAAAAGGTCATGTTAACAAGAGAACAATTGTTGTGAATCAGAGCCAAATTGACCTTTGTTCCAACTTTACTCATAAATAATGCGTGCTTGTGGACAGAAGGTCACAGACGAAAGGTCACAATTCAGTTTCTGAGACTATTTTCTTTGAAAAAGAGAAACTACTTATTTAAAAAAATATATTTTGTATGTATCTTGAACTATTGTATATATAAACCAACTCTGTAAACAAATGTATTAAATGAACAAATAATTGTTTAGTAAACAAACTATCAAAGTGGATTGGTACC